GTTGCCGACCTGAGGAGCTATAGGAACTTGAGCTTTCCAAAACTCAATTTCTAAGGGCACTGAGCAGTGTTTGGCTTTCACACGAATGCGATAGTAAGTTATATGAAGTTGACAAAGCAAGCAAAGCAAAGCATGATGCCCCGCGCGTCCGCCCGCGACCACGCCCCGCGTCCGACTCCCGACCGCCGCGTGACCCGAGGCGCCCGGCGGTCACGTGACCTACCGGCCGGGACTGCAAACGGCCCTCACCACCATTCTTGTATGACGTCATATCCTACTGAGGTGCTGATTGGTCGGAATTAGATACCTGAAGGTAATTATCTGCCGTAGTTATTTTTGTTTCATTGTTTTGCGTGTTTTCTTATATGAAATGTAATTAAAAAATTTGTCATATTTTAATCACCATTAAAACATAACTGAATAGGTATAAAAGAGAACTCGGTATATACTTTCCTTGTTTTTAAGAATTCCGGAATTAGATACCCGAGGGAGCAAAGAGGGAGCAAGTTGTCACGCTGATTTAATACCTCATAGTCGAAAGGTGGGCTACTAGAACCAAAAATTGCTGTGTTTGTAAATAAATAAGCGATTTGAGGGCAAAAAGTGCCCGGATTTAAACTTATAAAATTATTTTGAACATAAAATATTTCAGTTTGAGGGATGTTAAGGCCTCTAAGGGTAGGTACTTTTTAGGTATCAAATAAGTTCCTCTGCGAAAGTTCCGTCGTGAAAACGGCCATTGAGCTTTGACACAGGTGTAATGTTGAGGCGATGTGGTGGCAGATCCGATAGGAGTCCTAAGGTTAACCCTCGCCCTGGCAGGGCATTTTTCATAACACGGCCTGGCAGGGGGGGTCGATGCGACCCCCCCCTCGCGATTGGCTCCTATGGCACCTAGAAACACCAAATTTGGTAGGTAGGTGGGCCCCCTGGAGTTCTCGCCCCTGTGCAAATTTGGTTGCTCTAGGTCAATATTTAGGGGGGTTTTGGGGGGTATAAATGCAAAAATTTCGCTAAAAACAGGTCAAAAGTTTTTCGCTTCTAACTTTTGATCTAATTAAGATAGAGCAAAAAGAAAAGCACCAGTGAACTCAGCACGTCAAGGCGCGTCGAATGATATACTTTTTAGCTTGCTTAAGTGTACTTAAAGTTTTTCTTAAATTTTAAGTAAACTTGAATTAATAAATTAAGTTAAAGTTAACCGAATTGCATTATATCGCATATCATTCGATTCGGCTGATCACCAGGAACACAATGATACCATTTTTTAAGCTCTAGCGTCATTATGTGCCAAGTTATTGGCAAAAACGTCATTTGACCTCAGTTGACCTCATTTGACCTGACCCATGGATAAGTACACCAAACAAAGAAGCACCAAGTGACCTGATGTTAAGTACTGTGGTTTCAAAGCACAAAAGTGATAGAACGAAGCGGATATCTCAAGTATTTTCCGAATTTAGTATTTTCCCATAGGCTTAACATTACGACGTAATGACCTCTAACTGACCTCAGGTCAGTGACCTCAAAAAACCCGAACTATATGTTATACAACTCGGTGAACTTAGCACATCCTGAAAGTTTGAAGGAAATCAGTGCAAAACTGTGAGTTGGACAGGTGCAAAAAGAAAATTGAAATTTGACCATGACCTTGTACCGGTTTTTCTGACCTGGTGACCTGACCCAAGGTCACCCAGACCTGAAATTTTCAGGTCATATGTAAAAAGGTTGCCCCATAGGCTGTGCCAAATTTGGCGGCGCTGCGCGCCGCCGTTTTTACGCTATCTTCGAAAAACCTTAGGGGGGGGTCGCATCGACCCCCCCCCCTGCCAGGGCGAGGGTTAAGGCACATGCTTGCTTAAACTTTTAAACATGATTCCCCCCTCCAACACCACCACCCCTAAAAACTTTGGTAGGTATTAGGTATTAGGCTTAGGTATTTACTGTTTCCAACCGACCTGCCCGATTAATAACGTCCGTCAAGTGACTATCATCGGCCGCCATTCCCGTTCATAAACGTTAGCTGCCGGTCATCATCCATCGCCAGTCCGTGGATCCGGCTTTGCAAATTATTTAAATGTGCCTCCCCCCCCCACACACACACACATTACGCTTAGATCCGCTTGTCAGGTAACGTGTTGGACGGTGGATACTCGTCACGCGATGCATGGCGATTAAACTCTTAGAAGAGTCAGACATTTCGTTTTTCTCACAGACAATGACAATACAAAAACAATGTAATAAGACCAATTACATTGTTTTTGTATTTTCATTGTCTGTGAGAAAAATTAAACTCTTAGTTCGTACTTGTGCTTTATATCCGAATGTGGGAGGTGTACCATGATTTAATTACTATATTTGTTGTCCCAGACCCATATAATCATCCGACGATTGGTGCATTTAATCACCCTCACGCACATAACATATTTCAGGGACAGCATTTGCGAGCCAAATATTTGTAGCATCACTAGCCCAATGCAACAGTAGTCGCCAATCGCCAACTTCTTTCAAACGTTGGAACATTTAGTCGACGTGTGAGGCGGTTTCAGATACCGCCGCGTCTGCTGCTCGCCCGACGACTGACCCAGCTACCCCCGCCCCCTTACGTTTACGGACCGCTCCTATGCCGCCGTGTAGACGGAATAGACGCCGAGCCGCTGATCGTCTTGGGAGGTGGCTCGGTGAGTGGTGAAGCGCCGCTTTCTTACATTTTCAAAAAAGTTACAGCGAAGTCCACACTCGCTTCCTTATATTCCGTACTTCTGAGACCGTGCGGCTTCTGCCCTAGCGTCTAGCGGTGACACCTGAACGGCCGAAATGCAAACCTGTGCGGGGATTGCGAGCAGAACAGCACCATAGCAAGATGAACCCAGTAAGAAGTTACGCTGTGCTATTAACAGTAGGAGCTTATGTGCGTAGGTTCTTCGCCAGAGTCCGGACTGCACCTCCCGGCAAGACAGGAAGTTTCTAACACTTTAAACAGTTTCTGTAGCAAACCGTGTGTGTAGCTTCCTTGATCAGTAGCGACCGACAGGTAGGTACAGCAATTGAATTCAGAGTCGGTAGCCTTATATTTAGCATGCCGTAGCTCGTCAACTGTCTTAACTTTCGCTCTGTATGCGGAACCGCATCGGGCAATCGTGAACGACCACCGAAAGCAGCGTCGTCGTCCACGGCGTCGGAAACGTTCTGCGCAGCCTGTAGGCGTTATAGATGATGCAACAGTGAGTCCCTGTGTCTTTGTGAGTCTTCGTGAGTTCTGGCCCACAGAACTCACAGGTGTGCGCTTCCAGCGTTACTGACAGCGTAGCTTTCTTTTGCACGGCCCAGAAGAGCGCAATATGAGCTGACAAGTGTGTGGTTCGCTTTGACTGAGTGAGCTGTCGGACTTGCTGGAAAAGAGCACCTGACTGATCATCGAGTCATTTCCAAACACACAGATCACAGCGAATCTGAAAATGAAGACAACCGAAACGAGCCGAATCATGTTTAAAAGTTTTAGCAAGCATGTGCCTTGACCTTAGGACTTCTATTGGATCCGCCACCACATTGCCTCAACATTACAGGTGTTAAAGCTCAATAGGTCTCTTTTGTGGTGTTAGCTTCCTACTACCAGATGCATGCGTTTAGAACCATGCTGATTTTGGACATTTTATCACCAAAAGTGTTCCAAATATTCGCCACAAACCCCCTAGGGTGGTTCATAGAATGCTCCTTTACGCACCAAACTGGTCAGCGAGGGCATTTATATCAAGAAAATGGAATACAAATCGGGTTGTATGTGGAGACTTCAACGCCAGAAACTGATTTTCATCGAAACTTTGACATGATGCGGCAGGATGGGTTTTTATTTCTAGGATATTTTTCTTATACAGCTGGTCTTCTTCCCTGCAGGAGCAAAAGAAAATCATAGGAGCACCATGATTTGAAATGAAAAGTTTAATTACGACACACCCTCTGTACAAACTAGTAAACCGAGTGACGAATTTAGCGCTAATTGCAGTAGATATTCATGAATTGCGTAATGACTTGTTACATGATATAGGTATGATGCTTATCGCGCGGTATTATTCGATCTCACCAAATACCAACGCTAGAAGTCGTCACAGAACTGTGCCCGCAATACGTACCGGAATTCCTCGGCTATCTAGAGAAGGAAGAGTTTGATCAGGCCGGCCATGGCCTGTGAAGCTGCAGCGACTATGGCACTGACAACACCGACCACCTTTAGAGTAACGACCACAGCCTCAAGCGCGGTCATGACCGGAGATGGAGCGGGTTCGGCTCACGGAGGCGGCAAGCGCCCGCGGGACCCCAAAACGAGGAGGAGCCGCACCGGGCCTGCTGCCCGCACACCGGCCAGAAAGTAGCCGGCGGACAGGAACGGACCGACCGATCCCGAGTCGTCTCGGCCCCACAGCGTCTGACGGGACCCTGTCAGACGGCCCTCGGCGACGCACACTGAAAGAGGACGCGGCTGGCATGGGTAGGCTGTAACCGGACACCGAGTGACGGCCACTGCCGGCTCCCGTCCGGCCATCCCACTTTTTGTGGAGATGACCTGGCGTCCGCTGATCCCGTCCCGGTTTTTACACGGAGAGACGAGAGCGAACAATAAATAATGTTTATCACGGAAGCATCTATTGATAAATATTCGACGAACGCGTCATGCAGCTTCGTGTCATTTTGTAGAAAATGGTCAATCCTAACTAGTCTCGGCATTTTGAGGATATCACCTATTCTCGATATCATCTCAAAACGATCTTAGGCCTATATCTAATTTCTTTCTTGATGCTAGAAGACATAATCGAGAGAAATTATAGTGATAAATCTCGTCACTAATATAAGCTCACCTTTGATGGAAGGCCGAAACGAAAACCTTTGTCTGAATTAGAAGTTAGCCCTTCATTCACTGTCTTTGCAATAAGAGTCCTCGAAAAGCACATCTACATATCACCACTCACTCATCATTTATCATCGCATCATCAGCGCGCCTTTCTTACCTGCTCTGGTGTTCGCAGTGCTCACTGCTCCTAGGCTCGGCAGTCGGTGAAGTCGGCCCGGGCCTGCCGGTTAGTCCAGCGGCGGTGGGACTGTTACTCCGTTCCGCCAGCCGGCCTCAGCACACAGTGAGGCTGCTTCGACGTTCGGCTTCAGTCGCGCCGGGGGGTCACCACGCTATAGTCTCGACTTACGCAGTCTGACTTATCTACTGGTTGATCTTAGTCGCACAGTCTGACCGCCCCGCTGGTTGACGCCTGGCCGGCTGCTCCTCTGGTGGTTGGTTGCGCAGCTGGTCGGCAGCTCCGCTGGTGGCTGGCTGCGCAGCGGCTGGCCCAGCTGTCGCCGCGCTCTGCCGTGGATCCGCCACCTCCTCGCGGCGCGACTGTGACGCCGAACACGGCCAGCCGCCGACTGGGTCCGATCGGAGGCCTGCAGTCAGTCATCCCACCCCCTCCCGCCCCCCACAACCCGCGTGAGTGATTCGTGGCACGCGCCAGACGCACCCCTCCCCGGCCTCTGCCCGCCCCCCCCCCCCCTCTACTCGCCCTCACCAAGTCACACGGCGAAGGCATGGTATTTCGGTAAACTTAGCTCCACTCAGTAGAATGTCAGTTCAGGAGATATCAGCTCACTTTGACAAGCAAGATTTATAGTGACAGATTGGAATGATATAAGCTAGGGGAAGTTGGGTAAGACGGGCACCTTAAAGGGACCCTCCCACCTTCAAAAAAGTTTATGAATTGGCATGAAAGTGATGTCGCTCGGTTCAGAAAGAGCGGAAACGAATATCTACCAAATTTCACTGAAAAATATTCACCGGTTTTCAAGATATTAGACTTTTACTTCTGTTTACTTTTTTGGGATCTCCGCTGTTTCTAGCGACTTTATTTTAGAAGTGCGGCGTTTGCGGCAGATGCTGCGCGCAAATACCATATACCACCGCGTGCTACAAAACGTTTTAGTCAAACATTTAAAAATCGTTAGATATCTGCGCTGACGTCACACATTCAGAGGGGTATTCCTTGGCATTAGCCCCTCTGAATCAAAATGCTGCAATTTTGAAATTCAATATTTCTGATTTAAGGCATTTCTCGATGTTGTGAGTGCCGAAACCGGTAATTGTGAGCCAGGGACCCCAATTTGGCTATCTCAACTCAAATCTAATGTTAAGGTGGGAGGGTCCCTTTAACCCGCGAGTTGCTGGGGGGGGGGGGGGGGGCGTTAAGCGCCCCACTTTTTTCGCCGGGCCATAGCATAAAAACGGCGCGCCGCAGGCGCGCCAAATTTTGGGTACCTGTAGGGAATTGATTGAAGTTTATTGTGACAAAGTTTCAAAAAAAAAAAAATCGGTCGGAAAGTTTTTTAGATATGGAGGTTTTAGTAACGTCATGATTTCTGAGTTTTCGACCAAAAACGGCATATGTTCAAAAAATGATATAAAATCACAGAATAGACATACAGACGTGTCGTAAACGCCATTAGACTGCCAATACCATGAACAATCAAATGGCTATCTTCGATTATTGATTATCGTTCCGAATTTTCCAAAATCTTGAACTGAATCTTGGCAATTTCTCGTGACTACTTCACGACCATGATACATGCATTTCTTAAATTGAACTTTTTGAGCCAAACACGTACACATATGATAAAATGAATGTCACCATCGTGTTCTACGCCCCAAGTTACCCATAAAACATGTGTCACAGGCTGCGAATATCAGTTTTGATTTTCGGGGATATGTGCCTACCCGGTTGACCTGACCTTGACCCTGACCTATGCTTGACTGACCCTTACATGGAGCTGACACTCTTGTAGGCCTTATATGATGGATTGTGCACCGTTTTGACAGAGTTTATGACGAGAGGCGCCCATTGCGAAGTCCTGAAGTCCATGTTACTGAAAGCCCGATTTCAGGTGTTTGACCTGACCTTGACCCGACCTGTGACCTCAACATTCAACTTTTAAGTACTCATCTGAAGCGTCTCGTCGCGTTCTTTCGTTTGCCGCCTCGTGCGTTTCGCTGCGCCTATTGGTTCTTGAGTTATCGGCTGGGGGCGTTTAACGCCCCCCCCCCCCAGCAAAGGTGGGTGGCGAAATACCCCAGCAACTGCCGGGTTAACTTTGGAACCATTTTCGGCCGGTTAGAAACATCATAGAAACGGGAAACTGAGTGAAAACCTTTTTTAGACATTTTACTCCCATTTGCCAGAAGATGAGACTTAGAGCTGATTCAACAAAAAAAAGTTCATCTTGCAAGACCTTGCAAAAAAAACCGTCTTACCCCACCCCATGGGGTAAGACGGTCACATGGGTAGGGCAAGACGGCCAGCTTCTTTCACCGACCAGCGCAGTTCGCAACAAATGCCCGAGATTAGCCGCATTAACCCTCGCATGTGTGCGGCGTTTGCCAGCTTCTAATGTGTAGGGGGGGGGGTCGGTTGGACCCCCCCCCCTTGCCGTTTGGCCCCTGATCGAGCTAGAGCTTCGCAGAAAAAACGAGCGTGTTGCCCGTGACGAGAGGAAGCCGATGATACCCAATTTTAAGGTGCTAGGTCATTGGTTGACCTTCCAGGTCAGGTCAATGACCCAAAGTCGGGAAAATCGGGACCTGTTAGAAAGTCGTAAAGTGTGGCTGCTAAGGGGTTTTTCGGGGTGCTGATCACGAATATCGTGTTCGTTTTGATCACAGATGATGTCTTTAAGCATTTAGACCAGGTCGGGTCAGGTCAGGTCAGGTCAACCAGTAGGCGTCGTGACGGGTATTCGTAGTACGTGTCAACCGCCTCTGACAGCTTCGTAACATGTTACGAAGTCACCAAAACTACTTCGTAAATGTTCAAATGGTTGCTAAATTCGAATTCAGCTCCAAAAACTAGCCTAGAAACATGTAAAACTCGAAAAAAGTGAACCGAGGTCACCCGAGGTCACCAAAGGTCAATGACCTGACCTGACCTTCAGGTGACCTTGACACCCACCCTAATGTATGGGAGCAACATCAAATCACATGTTTGAACGTTTGAAACCACGAAAAGCTAGCAAACGCGCGGCTAATGCGAGCCGACATACGCGAAATCGCGATTCCGGCCAAACATGGTCTCGGAAAAGAGGTCACAGGTCAAAGGTCATTGGGGTCAGGGTCATGAAATTTTCAGGGTTGGTGTAAAATTGATCAATGCGAGGGTACTGAAAGTTTCGTCGCGATCAGCCGCCTTTTACGCGAGTTATTCGCGAAAAACCATGGGGGGGTCCATCCGACCCCCCCCCCCTACACATGCGAGGGTTAATACAGTCGCTCGTTGGTCTCAAGTGCTTCGGGAAAGGCAGTACCTTTACGAGATTCGTGCAGAAGGCGTATGCTCGCATATAGGCCCTAGTTCAGGAACCTGCACACCGTAGGTATACGTACGGCGCCCGGCCCCGCCGGAGCTCTGAGCCGATCGTGACATTTTCCCCATCCCAAGTTCGACTAAGAAACGTTCTCTCTCCCCACCCGATTGCTGATGATAAGGAATTAAAATGCAATCAGGGGTGTAATTTTCCCAAAATGATTACGGTTGCCCAGCTGTAGGGGCGCCAGGCCGCTTAGGGGACGAAGGGGCGCGAGAAGGCTACAAGGGCGCCGTGAGACCATGACAAGGGCGCCATTATCCCAGAAGGGCGCCAAGTGATTAAAAATGCTTTATGATCCAGGGGCACAGAGAGGTCAGAAGGGCGCCGCACAGTAAGTAATGCTAAGTTGGTGGGGACGTAGGGGGCGCCAGACGGTTACGAGGGCGCTGTGAGACCATGAAAAGGGCACCATTCTCCTATGAAGGGCGTCGAGTGATTGAAAACCCATATGTGGTCCAGGGGCGCTGAGAGGTCAGAAGGGCGCCGAACAGTCGAGGGATGCACGGTGGACAGAGACATAAGGGTGCGAGACGGGCGCCGTTGGACCATGAGAAGGTCGCAGTGCTGTCAAAAGGGCGCCATTCTCCCAAAATGGCGGCGAGTGATTAAAAACGCTATATTATCCAGGAACGCGAGGCGGTCAGGAGGACGCCGTTAGAGCATGCGAGGGGCACCGTGCTCTCAAAAGGCTGTAAAAGAAGACTTGTGGGTACATTTTCATCATTGTTGGGGGCATATTTCAGGAATGTGGGTGCATCTGCCACCACAAAGAGATATAAAATTACACCCCTGAATGCAATACTTCATCTCTGTCCATTCATTGCACACCGGATCCTGCCTACAGCGCCCAGCCCCGCATACCTAAGGGGCTCACAGGGGTCAGGGGCTCACCCAAATGACCTTGAAATTTAAACCTCCGCAACTTCGTTAATATGGCGGACCGAGCTCAGATTTCGGATGCATCGTAATCAGGACGTTACGTTCTATCTACTGATCAAGTTGGTCCAAATCGGAGGGGCTCGCCTGACTCCAAATCGTATATTATAGATTAGGATTCAGTTAAATCTAACTTGACGACCGTCTTACACCTAACTTGACGACCGTACGAACATCATGCTGCTGCGAGCGCTGATTGGCCAATTTTCACCCTCTCTGGTCGATGCCACTTGTCATCGAAATTGTGTACAGAGTTTGTCATTTCTCGGTGGGATTAAAAAACATGCGTTCCGTATGATAAATTATTTGTTTTTTATGACTTGTTGTTGTAAGTCATAAATATACGGCCTTGTCATAATCAAAAACAAATTTGTGTACTTCACAAATCACATGTTTATGACATGTGAAGTTATAAATAGTGGCGGAGTTATATATGCCCGTGAAGTTAGCGTCAGCAACAGCAACGAATACAGCGTCGGATTCAGAATCGCTTCAAAAACTGTCATCAGGTCAACTGGGGGACGGGGAACACGAATATGACATTTATTTTGCCCTAGCTCCCTTCCTTCATCCCTAAATCGTCCCTTAAAGGACGGGGCGCGTCAAAAGTGCCCCAATGCCTCGTCTGATCGCCAAAATAATGGTCGCAATCGATTCCTCGGGTCAATATCTAACCTCAGTCAAAGGTTCCAGACCTGTGGCTCCTATCCTTCATCCCTTAATCGTCCCTTAAATGACGGGGCGCGTCAAAAGTGCCCCAAGGCTTCGTCTGATCGCCAAAATAATGGTCGCAATCGATTGCTTGGGTCAATATCTAACCTCAGTCGAAGGTTCCAGACCTGTGGCTCCTATCCTTCATCCCTTAATCGTCCCTTAAAGGACGGGGCGCGTCAAAAATGCCCCAAGGCTTCCTCTGATCGCCAAAATAATGGTCGCAATCGATTCCTCGGGTCAATATCTAACCTCAGTCGTAGGTTCCAGACCTGTGCCTCTCTTCCTTCATCCCTTAATCGTCCCTTAAAAGACGGGGCGCGTCAAAAGTGCCCCAAGGCTTCGTCTGATCGCCAAAATAATGGTCGCAATCGA